GAATATTCTTCCTATACTTTACCATTGCAATATTCTCGAGGGTATTTTAAGGGTGCTTTTGTGTGTTGGCGTCCGTAAAATGGGGTATGTGTTTCAAACCATCATTATGATTCATCGCATACAACGATCTGTTTTTAAAAGTACCGGTAAAGAATTTCAGGCTAGTCTATCACTCATTTCTACACTAATTTTTATTACTGCAATTAAATTATAAAACTCATAGAAAGAAAGAGTGACCATTGATATATCTGATTTATATTTAAGTTGAAACAATGACATTAAACAACATGATAGGCAACTCTGACGTCACTCCATAAGACTACAGGCAAAACATTGTATTTCATGATACGCTCCAATGCACATATTTCTCGTCGCCTTTCGCGTCCGTTTTCCGCTCGCTCTTGCTACTCGGCGTCTTTTTTACGTATAGTACCTGCCTTTTTGCGCCTGTAACGAAACAAAATAATATCTATATCTAAAAAGTTTTGCTTACTTGGAAAGCTGGAATAACAGGCAAGCTGTAAAGAGCAATTCTGGACATCATAGACGTTTTTTTTTATCAGAGAAGATTACAAACGCGATAGCGGAAAGATTTGTGTGGAACATTTTGCAGATAATGACAAAGTTCAAAGTTAGTAATTTTAATGTTTGCGCTTAATCATTGAAATTTCATTTAAAGAGGGTGTCATACAAAACTGTGCTGCGATACAATTCCATAACACAAAGTTTGCACCTATCGAACTTGCTTTTGTAGGTGAATTTATTAGACATATTCCATATTCAGTTAATCGTAGGTAACATTGCTGGTACATAATGCATCGTAGATAGGTTTGTTTAAATTTAGGAATTTAGCTCATAGCCCACTAATTAATATTATCTTCTATGCAGGAGGTTGCAGGGCTGAAACTTGCAGCCTTACCGATCACCTGACGATGCTCATTTAGTTTGGCTCGAGCAAGTCTTCTTGAAATGCTTGTGTGGATGGAAACTACCTATATTTTTTGCCTTCCTCCGATTTTAGACAAATTTATTCTGAGGGAATTCGCATATAATTCTCACTGATTGTTGGCTGTTTATAATTCCTATTGATTGTGAATTCTGATTATAACAATGAGTTGAAAATTTTTTTACCTAATTTACTGGCACCTTTTTCTTGTCAATACTCCAAGCTGAGGTAATAAACATGACAATACATTTATGTCATCTGGAAGCAAAATATGCACACTAATTAATAGTTTGGCACATTGAGATAATACATCATGACAGAAAATACAAGTTAAAGATATGTATGACCATCACATGGTAATTAAAATTAAAAAAAAATTAATAGGGGCTGTGGAGTATGGAAAGTTCAAGACAAAGAAAAGAACAAATGTTCATAGCTCATGAACTCTCAATTTTGCCTTCATTGCTTTGATAAGGCCAGTATATTTCGAGTGGCTGAATTGGTTTACCTTTATGATAGCAAAAATTTTGTATTTAATATATCGAGATTATTTCAATTTAATTGAAGTGATATAATTTCCCAAAGCAATGCTTGAATCGTCTAGAATAGATCAGTGGTGTCAAACTCATGGGTTTTCGAGAGCCGCATTGCATTTTGAAAATTGTAAAAAGAGCCGCAAACAGTTTTTGATAATGTATACTTAAAAGATATTTTTAAGATAGTTTTAGTTTGTGACATATATTGTGATGCAACTAAACAGTTGGATTAAGTTTTATTATTTTCTTCAATTTCAAATGCAATTACATATTAATATTTGCATTCCACTATTATTGCAACATTTGCAAGTTACCGTATTTATTATAAAAAATCGTAAACTTCTATGTACAACCATCAAAATCATTTTTGAACAAGCTTTGAATAAGGAAAGAATAATACATACACTAAAAATAACTTAATCTAAATATATGAACCTAAAATTAACAAAAATACTACAGTATAAACTCAATGTTTTAATAATTACATTTGTCCTGGCGTTTGGCATCTTTTTTGTGTCACCAGCATACTAAGGCCAGTCTGAAATGATTTTATAGTACCAACTCTAACTAACGAGGCCACATGATCATGGGTTTATCTGGATCTTTACGAATGTTTAATTAATTCCAGTAATGCAAAAAAGTTACTTTTATCATTTCATGTATAGATCAGTAAAAAAACAAATGACAGATTTTTTCGACAAGACATTTCGCACTACATTGCGTGGCATAGGATTGCTTGAATTATTATTGATATTGATTTTTAGTAACTAAGTCGTTGTATAATTATATTAATATACAAACACATGGAAATTTTCTGTTCGAAGTTGGTCTTCGAATTTGTCATATTGACTGCTGAGCTTATTGTGTTTTTTGATTGTATTGATGGAAATATGACAAATTAAACAATGTGCTTCAGAATTTTGTGAAGAGCAGAAATGTTACAACTCCCATTTTCTTCGAAAATGCCACCTTCTTCATGTACTTTGCGTTTAATTTAATTACTCAAGTGTTTTATTCAAGTATTCTTTTGCTAGCTTGATGTGTATTCTTAATTGGGTCAAAATGTGGACAAAAAAATCAATATTCCAAAACTACTTTCAGTAAATTGTTTTCTGTGTGAATAATCAATTTCACTTTAGAAGGTTTGAAAAATCTATTACATTTAGATAAAAAAAAAAACTTCCAAAATACTATTTACAATTATTGTTAAACGTTCGAGGGCCGCACTGGAAGTTCTCTGGGGCCGCGAGTTTGAGATCCCTGGTCTAGATTGAAGTTGTTCAAAAAATATATGATAGTATTTTATCATGAATGATGATTATACCCCTTCCGGAATTTCTTCTATAGTACTACCAAAAGTTGATGAACCAAATATAACACAGGTGCAGTGAGGTACCCGTAATCCTCATTTCCAAAGCTGTTTTAAGTATGTCTGGCGTGTTTTGTGCCTTTTTACAAATAAGACCGCTTATGCAATCTTACGCTTTGGAATTTTTAGTTATTTTTTCTCAAGCCCTGCAGAATGTGGGGGCCATACACAACTCTACCGGAGGGTCAAATGTCTTTGCATGCCTCCATAGGTTGTTTTTTCTATTGCAATTTTCTATTTTCAAATGCATTATATTTCTTGGAATCACACTGTCACTGATATGTCGCCAGACTTTCTGATATCTCCCCGTCTGCTATAGTTGTCCTGTGGAATAAATAATAGGAAATTGAGATTAGACGAATAGTTGAAAGTTTTGCTTTAATGTCGGCTGAATTTCTTGATTGATATACTTACTATTTCTGCTATTGCCTCTTGTGCTGCAGAGTCTCACAATGCTTAGACAGGTTTGTCCACAACTTTCACATCTGAAGAAAGAGAGGAGATTTATTAATTTTCGTTAAGAATAAATAAAGCAGTCTATATGATTCAGAATGGAAAAGCTAATAAATCCAATATCTCATGTTTTATTTAAAAAGTATTTTACTGAATTTGGTATATAAACCAACTAATAAAAGGGTTTAGTCAGAAAATTACAAGCATTCGTGGCTCCAAATACTTGAGAAATCAGACTATACAATATAGACCGGTATGAGTGAAATGTTAGGTGAACTTGTTAACACTTGATTCAATACGCAAATAAAAGTGAATGCGTAATAGTATGTTACAATGAGCAGCAATCAACAATGAGTATATATCCTCACTGATTAAAAAAATCTAACTGGAGGTGCATGAACTATTTGAAACCATAAGGGTAAGTAAATATGTAATTTCGGCAAATGGGCAACTACGTACCGTACTGAATTAATAACTTCGTAGTATTGACAAAGGCTGGCTTTCCCACATGTACTTAACAGTGCGATGCCCGGGTGTGATATACAACAATAGTATTCACCTTACCTTTTACCGATTTCTTTTTACCCCAACTTTCAAAAATATCATTAAAATCGACAACAACTGTCAAAGCAGGCACGAACACCATTCGTGCTACGCCTTGAAAGCAGCACACATCCGCTCGTTTTCGTCTCGTCAAGTATGTGCATTGGAGCGTGCTATCGAATACGATCTTCGGACAAAAATGCCGGAGTTGCGCATCATGTTGTTTAATGTCATTGGTTGAAACAACTGAAAACTAACGCAACTGAAAACTAACGATTAGAGTTCAAAAACGCAAAATCGAGGTAATGTTTACAGCCACGCTTGAAAATCTGTCTGAGTGAGAAAAGTGTCTGAGCGGATGCGAAATGGAGGCATTGTTACGTCACTTTGTGAATCTTGCTGATTGGCCAATGTCACGAAGTAAACAAGGTATTCGATGCTCGGGGAAAGGTCCATGTTCAGTGGGACTTGTCGGTAACGCTCCGCTGCACACAATTTGACCCCGCCTATTATCAACAGCTCAGCTGTTCTGAGTGCAGCTGCATTCCCAGCTGACTTCGCCGGTCTAAAGCGCGACCTTGCGTTGGTCAATTTTATTTGCTATACCTGTATACTGTGTTTATTAAAGGCGGTTAAAGTTGGTAGAATAAGAAGCTTCTTAAGTAGTTACTTCTGGGAGGATGGTAGAAAGACAGTTCAAAAGTTTGCACATAACCGCAGTACAGAAATAGTCTACGCGTAATATTTTGAGCCTTAGTGGAACAGTGGAAGGTTTAGTAAATTTTTGAATTTCAAGATTTTACTTCAGTGTGTTGTCATTGGTTTTTATATACTCGTTATTTCACGTTTCTGAGATATTATTAAGGATATTTGAAATTGAAACAAACTGCAATTCACGACACCGGCTGGCAGGCTGTGGCTTTCATAGCGAAATGCTGTTTAATAAATTTCATAGTTGTGTGTAGCTCGCCTCTCTTTGCAAGTAAAAGATAAAATTTTCAAATCAAACATCTTCCCCCTATTGCTAGCTGCGCCGCTGCCGGCATGTATATATATACGGTATATGATAATTTTTTTCAAATCTAGATACTGTATATTCATACTGAATTATACCACACCCATTTCTAATTTTCCATTTTTTATTGTTTCTCAGTATATCATAATGGATGTTTCATCTATAGCAGACGCAACGAATAACTTGATAGTATATCTGGCAACAATCATAGAGATTGCTCATTATACTCTGGTAATTTACGGAGTACGGAATGACTGGGGTGAGTTGATCATATATAGACAGTTTTTTACGTTTCAAAAAATGTGGTTTCGACCTGTGGTGGGATTCAAATTTTTGTCGAATGTCATATATTTTTTAGCCGGTTCTGTTGCAAAAAGTCATGTTTTTTTCAGAAATGCCAACCGGTTCGCAGATCTCATAAAATTCCGTGAGACGGTTCTATAGAACCGGTGCGAACCGGTTGAATCCCACTACTGGTTCCGACCCGCAAACTCAGAAGGATGGCTTGATGCTTTCTAAAGGCCTATTCTCTATCAGTAGTTGATACCTCCTAAATAATAATACTTTGGGTAAAACATAGAATCCCAAAATGAATCTATTGCATGCTTTTTAACTGAGATACACTCTAGTGCAGGGGTTCTCAAACTTGTAGTGTTATGGAACCCGGGAAGTAGTTGACTATTTAGTACAAAGCCCCACAATTAGTTTCAAAAAATAAAACACAATTGTTATTTGCCGATTATTGTTTCTGAATAAATTAAAATTACTTTATTTAATGACTCCGCTTGTAAAGTTTTATTGATGACTTTATAGCTTTTTGGACAGTCACAAAATCAGCCAATTCAGTATTTTAATAAGTAAATGAATAGCTCGGAAAGTCCCCAAGTTTCAATCACAGAGCCCTTTTGGAAAATTATTGTAAATTCAGATGTCAACAAGGCAAGGAAACAGCCAGTTGCCACATGGTTGATGTCGATAGCTTGTTGCTACGGTGGAGGGATGATCATAAGTGTTTGTGTAGGAAAACCTGCTCTGACTCCTCTATCCAATAATCAGGTATGGATTTGTTTTATTGTTAAGCTCAGGGCTGTGCAATCTGCGGTCTGTGGCCAAATGCGGCCCACAAGGAAAAATAATGCGGCCTGCAATTTTATAGTTGTTTAATCTAGTATGTGAGAGTAATTCCGATCCATTTGCATTGCAAAGTCTATACCCGAGTCAAATTTATTATCTATGACCTTACAATGCCCTAACAGCTAGGTTGTGCGAACAACGCATGTCATAAGATCAATAACCAATATTTTTGTGTCTACTAGAAACCTCTGTTAAAATAATGGTGTGGCCCTCGGTTTGCATCCCTCAGCTGCACATCCCTGAATAGTTAATCTGAGTAAAAAAGCATATGCTATGCTTTTCAAACTGGTACGAGGCCTTCAGGCGGTCGAATTCACGATCCAGAGTCCTTTACAGCCAAGATCGCTATGGCGACCAATTGAGTTGTAATTTCGACCTCTGTTCTAACCTTGCAGAACGGTAGTGTTCTGCGGAACACAGTTTGAAAAACGCTGGAGTAGGCTGTGCTAAACCGGAAAGATTTCAATCATTCGTAAAATTGTAGATCCTTACGTATCGACAGGTATCGGTGGCAACATAGCATATGATAGCCTGGACATATAAATAAATATTAATTTTTCATTTCAGTCAGTTCTCATGATGACAATAGTATGGTGGCACATCTTCTACTCTCCCAAAGATGTCATTTATAATTTGTTGTCATGGAAACCAGCGATGTTAGTGATTGTTCTGGGAAAAGAAATGATCCGAACAAGAAAAATTATAAAAGGTTTGCTATATATTTGTTTACACTTTCTGATATTTGATGTTTGTTTAAAATTTGCATCAAACTTCGCAATTCCAGCCGTTTAGGAATGATTTTCATATTTATATCAGGGGAAAGGAATGTTGATAAGACAGCTTAATAATATGACGTACCTTCGCCTCTCTTTCAGTTACAAGTCTGTGTTGAGTATGGTGTAAGTTAGTCATTTGTTCCAGATTTCAGGACAAATTTAATTTGTAAGAACTTTATTACATGACACACGGAAATACGCTGTGTTCCACTGTGCTTGTTTTTCTTCTGTAGTCTCGGTTCTTAATTAAGGCCAGCATATATTTGAGCATTGGTACATGTGCTGCGAGCTGGTATGAATGCAAAGCGTTGCTATCTTGTCATTCCAAACAACGTTTTCGTAATTCAGGTATTTCTGAAGGTATTGTTCACTTCAAAAAATAATTTTGCTTCACTACGATTCTCACACAACAACACTTTATTTCGCTGTGCTCATCTCCACGTATGTGCAATTATTGGAATTCTACTCTCTTGTTATTTCAAACAATTATTTTCATAATTTAGGAGTGAAACTTGGTCGTGGAGCTTTCCCAGACTCTCTCTTGATCTGTACTATTCTTGGAATGTTTGGAGCCTGCGGAGGGGGGTTCGTCAAAAATGCTGCAACATTTGTGAGGAAACAATGGAATCATGAGACCGTGAAATCTATTCATTTGGCGACGTGAGTATTGATTTGTTACAAATCGAGACATTACGGTATTACGGTAGTTAGTGACTGGGCTGTGGAGTTTCAATTTATTGCAAACTTCTGGCACATCCGAGCAGGAGTAAAGATTTTGAAATCTTTAGAGCAGACAGACAATCAAGTTTACAATTCCAAAAGAGTTTAAATATAAATTCAGTGTTTTGACTCCAATTTCTAAATATCACTAAAATAATAAAAGTTAATAAGATGCTATGAGCTGGTGCTACTAAAATTTGTGGTAACTCTGGCTCCATCTAACTCGGTAGGCTTTGCTCCATGGCTCCGACTCCAGCCCTGATAGTGACATTCATACATTTTCTAAAATGAAAGAACCCGTTGTTAGTGAGCTTGATACATAAGGGAACCCGTTCTAGAATTCTGAATCGCTCTTTGGGAACGTGAAATGGTTTTCTAAGATGAGGGAACCAGTTTGACACAAAAGAGAACCTGTTCTTACAATTTTGAATTTAATTACTGGCAATTTACCATAATATCCTATTTTTTTCAGAGTAACAAAGCTCAGTCTTCTGTTCTCTCTACTTTACAATCTACAACTTCTAGGAATCCTGCCGATCTCATTCAACACTGTTGTTCTTCTACAACTAACAGTGATGTTCCTGATATCGGTGGGACATAATAGATTATAGGCAATTAGCCCATGATTCAATATGGCCTGCTGAACTTGAGTGAAATAGTTTAACACTTTGTGTTTTTACCTTTTTGCGTTCTAATACGGCCAGGCCAATTGGATACTCCCATAATGTGTACCAGGTTAAGGGTTATTCTCTACAGCAGGCCTGCCTAATGTCTTTTATGGTTGCGATCCACTTTCACATTAGAAAGTTTTTTGTGGGTTGCAAACTCAAATACCAGCCAAGTTTTGATTTACCTTGGAAATAAAATAGTTTATTTACATAATGAATCAAATCCAAAAATACTAAGTAGAGCAGGCGAAATATTTGAATATCGTATTGATATTAAAATATTAGAGCTGCAGTTTACTATTCGAATATCTGGTAACACATTACCTGGGCATGTCACTGAATCAAATTCTTGCCTTGTATTTGTACACAGGGTCCCATGCCATGTCAATTTACCCCCTCCCATTAAATAGTCTTCCCATTAAACAAAAATTACAAACTTATTTATAGCGCTGGCCTTGGAATTCCCTGCAGGATTCGAACCTATGAACTCATGCAGGTTACTTAGAGGTTAGATAGCAGGCATTTCAAGTCCTATGACACGTTTAGACCAACTCTACATATAAGAAGTTTAACAAGTTCTCGTTATTTCAGGCTTCTTCCAAGTTTGGCGTCAACTTTGATCCGTTCCATCGAATTGAGAAGATTATCACAAGTTGCGTGATAGATTATTCTGCGTATGTGGGAGCTGAGGAGGAAAAATCCCCTCAGAAAAAAGCCGGGGACGAAAAATCCCCTGAGAAGAAAAAAGATTCTTTGAAAAAGAAAGAATAAGCCCACAGGTTTTCAAATTCAATTTACTTCCTGTAATGCATCGGATTATCTGTTTAATTGAAATCAGGGTATTTTTTCCGATATTGAAACTTGTATTTCCCTCTTTCAACGTTAATTTTAACAGTTTTTATAATTCTGTATTACAAATCCCCACGCGTTGCATTAATGCAATTTGTGATTGTGTGACTGTATTATAAATATTAAATTATATATTAATATAACGCAGCTAAAATTTTAACATAGTCTTCCCTTTCTCAATGTTAATTTTGTTAATTTATTTCATTTTTAAAAACAAATATTTTTTTTATTTAAATGAGTTTAAATTGAACAATGCAATAGTCTTGTGAAAAACTAGTCATTTGGGAACCACTGACATATATTACAATCAATTGTTTCAAATACGTCAGTGCAGCGTTTCTCAAACTGTGTTCTGTTCTACATACTTTCTGAAATTGTTCTGCAGAACAGGGACGAAATTGGTCGCCGATTGTAATAGCCAATATTCGTATAATACACGATCCTCTTTATAAAATTCATATTTTATTCCAAGAGCTGACACAAAATTCCCCCAAAAATCAATCAAGTTCACTGGTCCAAAAAATTTGGAATCAAATTCCTGAATCTATTAGATTGGCTTCCTATGTGAAATTTAAAAAAAGTTACCTAAATTTCCTTGTTATGGATTACTAGAGTATAGTTATAATATTCAATAATGATTAAAACATGTGACTGTCCATCATATAATGGTCACATTGCCACTGTTTGCTTACTATCTTTCAATTTTCAAACTAATTTTAAATAATTTTCTGCAATTCACTCATTTTTTCTGGCTATTATTATCTGTATTGAGAGTATACTTCGTTTAAATATTTGGTAGTTAACTAGTCGACGGTTACTGTATATTTTTTTTCTCAATAATTATTTATCTAGAATGGGTGGTGGCCGACTTTAATGACCTTTGGTCGTATCCAGTAGTGGGATTCAGCCAGTTCTATCGAACCGTCTCACGGAATTTCATGAGAACAGCGAACCAGTTAGCATTACTGGTTACTCTCAATGACTTTTTGTAACAGAACCGGGTGAAAAATATGACTTTTGTGATGGAACCGGCTGACAAAAAAATTGAATCCCACCACTGGTCGCAGTCTCTTCTCTGACTGCAACTCACAAGGCCTGCTTGAAATTGTGGCCCTCCAACTTTGCAAGCTTAGACTAGCCTGAAGTACAAAATCGAAAGTAGTTTGGTGTTTTGCGCGAGCATAAATGTAAACGAAGTTAATTTTTCAACTTGAAATATATTATGATTTTAGAGTGTAACTTACGCAATATGAAACTAATGAATTATGGGAAATTGAAGAATCTAGAACAGAATTGTTGCAAAAGCAGGTTATACATATTTATGCTTCATGAATATCCATGTCCTCGTAAATTCTCTGACTCCAGCATCAAAACACTTGTTAGTACACGGTACCATGTTAGGGTAAATACTACAGGTTTCTTCCTGCCAAAAAGTGTCATTATTTTGTTACTTGTACACTTGATGGTATATATGCACACAATCAAATGTTCGATGCCCCCAACTATAGCCTACTCTTTTTACGGTATCTCCCCAAGACAACACTGTCTGGTCTTGCACTTTTATTTTCATGGTAACTAGACTGTGGTGCATGAAATCGACTTTTTTTTGTTTAAACAGTGATTGTTTGGTATGTACCGGGTCGTGCTTTTCATTTTATTTATTCAATAACATATTTAGTTTGATTTTATTATATTCATCGGGTTTCTGTTAGATTTCCCCAAGGGTGGAGTCGCTCGATAACCAGTATTGGTTTTCAACATCTCCTTTCACCCTGGAATGCGACTTTTTTATATTTCCTTTAATTTGTGTATGTATAGTTTGTACTTTCAGCATGTTGAAGAAATAAATTACTGATTACTATATTTACTAACTCACTACTTTATTTCTAGCTTTGCCGCAAATTGAAAATGTTTCATCTCAAAGAAGTGGATCCGACATTATTTTGACTTGAAATGCAGTATCTGACAGAAACGTTCTATACAACATAGAAATCTTCTGCGATGATGTGAAACTTGGAGAGACTCACACTACAGAAGTTCCTCAGTATAGAATGAAGTCACCCACACTTGGTAAAACATATCGTTTCGAAGTCTGGGCCAAGGATGAATGGGGAAACTCTGGCATCAAAACGCAGTCAAAGAATGTTATAAAAGGTATATTTCCAGGATTATGTAGATTTTAATTTTTATTGTCATGGACTTCTGTAAATAATACACATACGAGTATACATAAGAGCAACCAATGGCAGTCAGAATCATATTGTGGTGACGATAGACTGCCCAACTCTTTGCAACAATTTATTCCAGTTTTGTCATGGATTATATCCTAATCGACTAGCACAGGGGTGTGCAAATTGTGGCCCGTGGCCCACGAAACGAGTTTTTAGTTTCGTTTATCTGGTACGTGCGGGCATTCCAATCTCTTTGCGCCTCAAAGCCTATACTGTACCAGTACCTGGGTGCCACTGCCATATTAGCAACAACAGCTAGCAGAATTCTGTTGCCAAATACACACTGCTGAGAAAACATAGCAAAGGCACGGCCTGCAGCCTTACCCAGTTACTTGTATCTGGCCCTCCTGTAATAAAGTTTGCACACCCCTGGACTACAGCATGATATTAAAATTAAAGCAAACCAAGTAAGAATTACAGTATGCACTAAATTGCGACTATTGGGATTTACAGCAATCCCTCTATAGCAGTGGTTTCCAAACTGGGGTCTGCTGACCTATTGGGGACCGTGAAGCACTTTTGGAGGGTCCGCGAAACAAATCTGTAATATGGCTATTAGCTTGCTAATACAAAATTGAGTGCCTAAACAAATACACATTTGTCGCCTTTTGCTGTTTTGCAATCACCGCTAGAGACACTGATTCTTCACTTTTTAGATGATACATACATGAGTGCATCACACCGGCCTGATATCAACTTAGTTAGAACTACTAGGTGTTAAAATAATAACGCAAAATTAACAGACGTTGAAATGAAATGCTACTTAAAACATTTTAACACCTTTTAAAAGCTTTTTATACTTATATTTATAGAACGCAGAGGACCTCCACCTATCAACTTTGCTGGAGCAAATATTGGGAATCTGCATCTACCAGAAAGAGGAAATCAGAACAATCAGCAAATAGTAAGATTTGAGTAATATTTATTCTCAACTTTCTATAATGATATTTCAAAATATTCATATGTATGTTTTCAATCATCTCCTACACGATGTAATAGACAGTTACAGGCTCGGTTGTGTGGTGCATCGGGCTAAGCGATATGAATACACTTGGTACCACCCCTTTGATTACCCTGTAGGTTTGCAGGTTCGAATCCTATGGGGGATAATTATGTGCGAGAGGATTGCTGGACTCTTCGGCACTGCAGGGTGTTTCACGTAACTGCGTAACCGCTGGTCATTTATGGCTTCCTCTCCCATCAAGTTTATGCAATTGGAAATATTGACTAACTAACCCCATACTCTACATAAGATAGACTGATAACAAGACGAAAGGCTGTGGTTCGTCATATGATTAAGCAGTGTTATCGGCTTTTCATCCCCCGAGATAAATGTGCAAAACCTATCCTGATTCATGTTGATAATAAGCCCCAAAATGTGATGTCACTATGCATATTAGAACTTTGCTATACCAGGGGACCAGAAACTGTGTGATATTCAATCACTAAGCCATATGAAATATTTAATCCCCAAATTTGAATGATATTTGTCTGTGTTTTTATAGCAGGTAATAAAAATAAAAAAATATGCTAGATAGTAAAAATTGAAATTTTTTAAGGGGCAAAATGAACAAGAAGAAGCTGGTGCAGTAGGTGGAAACCAAGCAATAGAATAAACCAATAAAGCATGAAGGTGATGACGGTACGTGAAATACCATTTACTTAAACAGCAAATTTGATTTCTTGTCTTTTATATTCTCGAAATAGTTTGTGGAGTCATATTAGATCAGTGGTTCGCAACCTTTGATAATTAGAATGAAAATTACCATTCAGTAGCAGAAAACAGCATCATCAATCATTGGTACTACAATCAAAATTATAGATAGTGATACAAATAAAACTTACATTTTTTAATGGTTCTGTGGCCCACCTCAAAATCTTTTCGTGGCGCAGCAGCGGGACATGGCCCACTGGTTGAGAACCAGTGTATTGGGTAAAACAATAACTCATTTTGTCTCCTATTTTTGCTATGTTCACTGTACAGTGAGTAATTGTCTTCGTTTTTTGAATGTGGTCTTTACATATCTGCGGACGTTCAATCACCCCTGGAATATTATTATATTTGCAGGAATTCAACCAACACTGATTAACAAACAATATTCAAGATTTGTAATTGTTGCTAATCTAATGCCTTATTCAAACATCCCATAGAAAATTGTTATGATATTTCTCTACTGAGCACAATTTTTAGAGTCTTCTTAATGGAAAATTTTTTTTTTTTCAGATTCCGATGATCTTGAGAAGTTTCCCAACTGACCACGTTCTAAAGACATTGCTAAAATACAAATGTTTCAATTATGTCGTATATTCAACAGTAAATTCCTCCAATAATCTCAGACTGAAAGACGAATGATCCTGTGGTATCCTGCAACACATTATGGACATGCATATGTTGTGAAGGGCTTAAATATTAGAGAAGACTAGATAGTCTAGTCCAATAATAGTAGAATTAGGGGAAAAATTTCATAATTTTTTTTTTATGTGAAATGCTGATTTTGCATAGGCTTGGATTGTGAAACATAGTAATTGACTCTTAGTCATATGCACCACCCTTCAGCAACGATTTCGGCAATTTGGGTCATCCCTCACAAGATTTGACCTCTTGAAATGACCTCAGAGCATTTTGTAAAATTCTGCACCAAATCCTGATTTTCATGTTTTGTCATACAAATTCTTGTCATTTCAAGATTTTTTTATTATTTTTTCCTATTAGTTTTAAAAATTGGGTTGGGTGCTGCATTAATGCTTTAGCTTCTTATGTACTATATTTAGTGAGCCATAACAAACTCACTTTAAGCTTTTCCAGATATCATGTGTATTGTTTTTATGTCGCACTCATTCAGAAATTTTTGTGTAATTATAATTTTATGGTATGTCAACAACTTTCTTTATTTAAGTCAGGTTTTGAGTTTTTTCTCATAATTGACAACTGCTGTACTCAATCTTGCTGTATTTAAATCGCCCTTAATCCTTCTTGTTGTCAATAGGCTTTCTTTGTAACCTCACATTTGATTATATTTTGAAATATGAAAAATAAAAGAACAAAAAAATCAATAAAAACTATAAGTTATTAACCTAATCGTAACTGATTTAATAGCCATTGTTCGAATTTTTATTAATTTTTGTTGTAAAATGCATTATTACCTTTCGCTCTTATATTTTTCAATTATTGTCAACTATTGATGTCTATTATTTCTATGTATATTTCAGAACATCCCTATAAAGTTATGATATTCTGATTTGTCGGCAAACGCGCCATAAAATATGCATTTCATGACTGCTATAATAACCGTTGGACTAGACTGAAATGTTTTTGACTTTCTGTTGTGATTTGATATTGTGTTAGTCGGTAGCTGAGGACTCTTTTGGAGCCCATTGTAACGTTGCCTCTAATCTATGAAAAATAACAAGAGATGTACTATATTATAATAGTGATACATGTAGATTCTACATTCACTTGTTTTGCAATGCTTATTACGAAATTTTCATGCACCGAAATCAGCATTTCTAGTTTATATTATTCTCTATAACTCCGTGTGTTTCTGTTTGTATAAAGCGAATAGTAGTAACTGATGATGAGAATTCATTTTTAAAATTCTCATTGAGACTTGTACTTGAATGTGTAATATTTCGATTATTGAGTATCTCTTGTCGAAAAATATTTATGATTTGAATTCATATTCTGTGTGATATTTCTTTAATTGTTGTACCATCTGGACGGGAGGCCATCGTTACCCATATAGCTAAAGAATTTTACTCCTATTACCCTCCTAAATAAATATCAAAATTTAATTATTTAAAATTGTACTTATTTGGAAACCCACATGTTTATTATGGCATGACTTTTATGGTATATGTGACTTTTCAAGTTAATGTAGAACAACTTTTCCCCAATATTCCACAAGCATAAGGTTTCTCTCTGGTATGGATTTGTATGTGACTTTCCAAGTTACTTAATGTAGAACAACTTTTCCCACATATTCCACATGCATGAGGTTTCTCTCCGGTATAAATTTGTATGTGACTTTTTGAATTTTCAATATAGAACAGGGGTGGCCAACCAGTCAGAGACCAAGAGCCACATTATAAACTAGAACACATATGAACATCAGATATACCTTTATTCAGCTGTACCAAAAAGCTAGTTTATTGTAAATATCACTAGCCAACATAATTATGACAAAAATTTACAAGCCATTTATTAGTATGCATGCTAATATGACTTATATATATATATAATAATAACTTATGGTATGTTGTTGTAGCCAATTGGAACAGTTCTTTCGGGGCTCCCGAAGTATGCCAACCAAGATGGCGGACATCGTAATGTAACATGTGTACTAGGTTAGGGTTAGGCCATAATTTTAGGTATAAATACTACGGGAGGCTCTTGGCTAGTCTTCGAACTGATAATAGGAATAAAATAAGGAAAATTAGGAAAAAATTATTGCCTAACCTGTTATCCATGTTACGTAACGATGTCCGCCATCTTGGTTCGCATACTTCGGGAGCACCGTTCTTTCACATCGGTATTAGACAGGACTAATCATGGCTTTGATTTCACGTTCTTTAGTGTAGAAAACACAGATTCACAGACATATGTTGACCCAAACATTGACAATACCCTATGCGCGCAGCTTTACATTGGCGTATTTTCCATTGGCAGTAATCAGTAATTTATTTTTCCACCATACTAGAGTACACATTGTAAATACACAATACAAAAAAAATAAGTAATATGGTACCGGTACTTCAGGCTGAAGGGAGGCACGAGACACCAAGACAGGTTATCGAGCAGCGACACCAATCGTATAAGTCTAACAGTAATATATAAATCAAACAAACAATAAAAATCTTGAAACAGGTTTGCGTCAGAGCAAAGTGACTATGATGCATTGGTAACGTTATCGTGTGACGTCACACCAGCCATTTTGTGTCCAGGGTTCTATCGCTGTATGATCATAACTAAGTGATTTGAGCCTGCGATCGTTGAACAGCTGATTAAAAAAAAACGATGCTCAATATTTCGGACCAAACTTTCGCAGCGGCAAAACGGATGAACATTCTTCTAAAAGATTAATTATCCGCAGATGTTTCTCGGATAACTCGGCTCGGCCAATGACATTAAACAACATGATGCGCAACTACGGCATTTTTGGCCGAAGATCGTATCCGATAGCACGTTCCAATGCACATACTTGACGAGACGAAAACGAGCGGATGTGTGCTGCTTTAAAGGCATAGCACGGATGGTTTTCGTGCCTGCTTTGACAGTTGTTGTCGATTTTATAGATATTTTGGAAAGTTGAGGTAAAAAGAAATCGGAAAAAGGTAAGGTAAATTCTATTGTTGTATATCACACTCGGGAATCGCACTGTTAGGTTCATGTGGGAAAACCAGCTTTTGTCAACAACTACGAAGGTATTAATTCAGTACGGTACGTAGTTGCCCATTTGCCGGAATTGCATAGTTACTTACCCTTATGGTTCCAAATAGTTCATGCACCTCCATTTAGATTTTTTAATCAGTCAGGATATATACTCATTGGCGTAACATACTATTGCGCATTCACTTTTATTTGCGTATAGCGTATTGAATCAAATGGTTAACAAGTTCACCTAACATTTCACTCATACCGGTCTATATTGTATAATCTGATCTCTCAAGTATTTGGAGCCACGAATGCTTGTAAGTTTCTGACTAAACCCCTTTATTAGTTGGTTTATATACCAAATTCAGTAAAACATTTTTTTACATAAATCACGAGATATTGGATTTATTAGCTTTCCCATTCTAAATCATATAGACTGCTTTAAATATTCTTGACGGAAATTAATAAATCTCCTCTCTTTCTTCAGATGTGAAAGTTGTGGACGAACCTGTCTAAGCATTGTGAGACTCCTGCAGCACAAGAGGCAATAGCAAAAATAGTAAGTATATCAATCAAGAAATTAAGCCGACATAAAGCAAAACTTTCAACTATTCGTCTAATCTCAATTTCCTATTATTTATTCACAGGACAATTATAGCAGAAAGGGAGATATCAGAAGTCTGGCGACATATCAGTGACAGTGTGATTCCACGAAATATAATTGGAGTACTCCGTAAATGTTTGAACAACCTATGGAGGCATGCAAAGCCATTTGACCCGGTAGAGTTGTGTATGGCCCCCACATCCTGAAAAGCTTGAGGAAAATAACTAAAAATTCCAAAGTGTAAGATTGCATAAGCGATCTTATTTGTAAAAAGGCCCAAAACACTCCAGACATACTTAAAACAGCTTTGGGAAATATTTCTTTGGTTCATCAAATTTTGGTAGTACTATAGAAGAAATTCAGAAAAGGGTATAATCATGATTCATGATAAAATACTGTTATATATATTTTAGACAACTTCAATCTAGACCAGGGATGTCAAACTCGCGGCCCCAGAGAACTTCCACTGCGGCCCTCGAGCGCTTAACAATAATTGTAATAGTATTTTGGAAGTTTTTTTTTTATCTAAATGTAATAGATTTTTCAAACCTTTCAAAGTAAAATTGATTATTCACACAGAAAACAGTTTACTGAAAGTAGTTTTGAAAAATTAATTTATTTTTTGTTCACATTTTGGCCCAATTAAGAATACACATCGAGCTAGCAAAAGAATACCTGAATAAAACACTTGAGTGATTAAATTAAACGCAAAGTACATGAAAAAGGTAGCATTTTCGAAGAAAATGGGAGTTGCAATATTTCTGCATTTCACAAAATGCTGAAGCACATTTTTTAATTTGTCATATTTCCATCAATACAATGAAAAAACACAATAACCTCAGCAGTCAATATGACAAATTCAAAGACCAACTTCGAACAGAAAATTTCCATGTGTTTGTATATATATTAATATAATTATACAACGTTTTAGTTACTAAAAATCAATATCAATAATAATTCAAGCAATCCTATGCCACGCAATGTGGCGCGAAATGTCTTGTCAAAAAAATCTGTCATTTGTTTTTTTACTGATCTATACATGAAATGATAAAAGTAACTTTTTTGCATTACTGGAATTAATTAAACATTCGCAAAGATCCAGATTAACCCATGATCATGTTACCTCGTTAGTTAGAGTTAGTGCTATAAAATCATTTCAGCCTGGCCTTAGTATGCTGGTGACACAAAAAAGATGCCAAACGTCAGGACAAATGTAACAATGACAAAAGTTTATACTGTAGTATTTTTGTTAATTTTAGGTTCATATATTCAGATTAAGTCATTTTTAGTGTATGTATTATTTATTCAAAAATGATTTTGATGGTTGTACATGGAATTTTATGATTTTTTGTAATAAATACAATGACTTACAATAATAGTGGAATGCAAATACTAATATGTAATTGCATTTAAAATTAAAGAAAATAATAAAACCTAATCCAATTGTTTAGTTGCATCACAATATATGTCACAAACTAAAACTATCTGAAAAATACACCCCTGACAGTTTGACACCACTGATCTATTCTAGACGATTCAAGCATTGCTTTGGGAAATAATATCACTTCAATTAAATTGAAAAAAATCTTGCTCTATTAAATACAAAATTGTTGCTATCATAAAGGTAAACCAATTCAGCCACTCGGAATATATTGGCCTTCACAAAGCACTGGAGGCAAAATTGAGAGTTCATGAGGTATGAAATTTTGTTCTTTTTTTTGTCTTGAACTTTTCATACTCCACAGCCTCTATTAATTTTTTTTAATTTTAATTACCATGTGATGGTCATACATATCTTTAACTAGTATTTTCTGTCATAATGTATGATCTAAATGTGATCTAACTTTTAATTAGTGTGCATATTTTGCTTCCAGCTAAAATAAATGTATTGTCTTGCTTATTACCTCAGCTTGGAGTATTGACAAGAAAAAAGTGCCCATAAATTACGTAAAAAAAATTTTAACTCTTTGTTATAATCAGAAATCACAATTAATAGGAATTATAAACACCCAACAATCAATGAGAATTATATGCCAAATCCCTCAGAATAAATTCGTCTTCTAAAATAGGAGGAAGGCAAAACATATAGGTAGTTTCCATTCACACAAGTCTTTCAAGAAGACTTGCTCGAGACAAACTAAATGAGTATAGTCAGGTGATCGGTAAGGCTGCAAGTTGAATCAGCCTTGCAACCTCCTGCATAGAAGATCATATTAATTAAGAGCTAAACTCCTAAATTTAGACACAAATCTATCTACGCGGCATTATGTACCAGCAATGTTACCTACGATTAACTGAATATGTAATATGTCTAATAAATTCACCTACTAAAGCAAGTTCGATAAGTGCAAACTTTGTGTTATGGAATTGTATCACAGCACGGTTAAGAGAAGTACAAACAGTTTTGCTGTTTTGTATGACACCCTCTTTAAATGAAATTTTAAACTTTGTCATTATCTGCAAAATGTTCCACGCAAATCTTTACGCTATCGCGTTTGTAATCTTCTCTGATAAAAAAACGTCTATGATGTCCAGAATTACTCAAATAGCGAATAATGTTGCCTCTGCTACACCAAAGTACTGAATGACCTCTGGAGACCAGCATACCAGTATTTATACCCAGGAAGCATGCTTCATGCTGTGCTTTCATTGGTCAGTTAAAGAGTGAGAATAAAATTAAAGTACAGTTATCTCAGGATGA